TGAGTGGACACGAGTGAGTTGTTGACGTCATTAGAGATGTGATGAAGAAATTCATTCTCTTTTATTTTGATGGTCACCGACCCTCGATTCCACCCTCTGTTGCCATGTGTTTTCCTACCTCCTGTCACAGATTCCACCCTGTTGTTCATTGTCCCCTGACCTCCTGCCATTTGATTAGCAACTGTTAACTAACCACTATTCACTTCTGTATTTACACACAACCCCCCCCCCCCTACCCTCTGACATGCCGTATAAATATGTGACTAAGCAGATGTTCGGGGTCGGTTTACCATCACAGACTCATGCTCTGTGTTGGTACGTCCACCGTGTACCGGAATACTAATAAACACCCACTACAGCAAAGTTCACATGAGGACTGTGGGTAGAATTTCTTCAACAGATGCAATGACAGTCGTGACTTGATAATCTGACCCTTAACAATCCTAAACTTTCCTATCCGACAGGTTTTTAGGAAAAACGAACGGAACCCATTAAAAACAGCCTTAACATAGCGACAGCCTTGGATTCTGACTCCGACATGACATTTTATGTCACCAATCAGGATAACGCCGTATTATCTGACTGAACAATGCCACAGATTGGCTACGTTCACACTGCAGGACTTAATGCTCAGTTAGGATTTTTTTGCGAGTTTGTTCACATTTCCAGTTCAATGCAACTTGTATGTGATTTGCTGTGTGAACTTCATACGACCCAAAAGTGTCCCGCATGCACAGAAGATGACTCGATGACGTCACACGCAGAGAGAGTGCTCAGAGTTTGTGACCGCTAACTAAACTAGCATCAGCAGCCAAGTACTACTCCAACGACTCCCAGGGATGCAGCAGTGAAGGGGTTAACCCAGGACTAGTGATGATGCCTTGGGGGTTGCCCTCCAACCGCGATGGGAGAGAGCTGACCTGCTGCACTGTGGCCCTTCAAAACAACCCCTAGACCGTTGGGAAGGAGCCTATTTATCAGGGGTCTCACTGTCTCTAGGTCTTTAGCAAAAACTAATAATAATTATAGTAATGACAATAATGTAAGATGATGGAATAACTCGAAGAAGAACAAAACCCACAGACCCTACAACACCAAATCAGCGCAAGAACAAACAAACTGAGCCAAAGTATCCCACGCTCAGATGCCAATCGGTTTAAGATTGGTAAAAATGTCAATACTAATAATAATCATCATCATCATCATCATCGTCATCCCATCGCCATTTGATGATTTCTTTCTTTCTCTCTCTCTTCTCCTTTTTTTCCTTTTTTCTTTCGTCTTCTTTTCTACCTTTTGGGTGATGAAGAGGTTTTTCCTTTTATTTTAGAA